CCGCGCCCCCGCGGCGAGCTGGAGGAGCCGTGTCCCGGCGCAGCGCCAGGTGCGAGGCCCGGTAACTCTGCACAAGCTGGCGATGGGAACGCCCGGCTGAGCGGACGGGCCGCAAGGATGCCGAGGCATTGCGATGCTGCAGGACATGCACAAGCGTGCGCACTGCGCCGCGCCGCTTAGGAGGGAGCATGAGAAGCGCGCGCTGGAAGGTAAGGGGACGATCGCCGTCGCACCGCCGTGGCGCAGGTATAAAACCCCTACAGCAAACCCCCTCGGCGCGCACCGTTCGGCCGGGACACCTCACGCGCATGAACAAGCATTTACCTTTGCAATTCCATACGCTGCGTCCTAGCTTCTCTCCCGCGCTGGCACGGGCCGGTTACGAATGCCGTAACGCCCGGCGCAGCCTCGTGCCCAGACACGGCCTCCCACATCAGCCCCGCAGTGGCTTCACGGCAAAGCCCGCCTCGTGGACAGCACTCGGGCTGCTTTTGAACGTCAATCAGAAGCCATACAGATAGCAAAACAACGTTTATTACAGGCATAGGGGAAAATGCAAAAACACAAAACAGGTTTGTTTAAGAGCTCCTACTTTAAGTATATAAAAAGTGAAACAATTCACAGTATATTTAACTGCGCCCATAATACATTTTAACAGGACATTTTCAGTCTACCCTGCCTCCTCCTAGGATTTCAAACAAGGAAAAGAAACAGTGAAAATACCTTTTTATCATCTTACACAACTGCAACTTGAGGTGTCTACAAACACATAGCATCTCCAAAGTTGTTTTGTTTTTTTTTAACGTATGCTGTAGTAAGACAGTAAGGATTAAGTCACTGGAAGTCTTGCTGTATGTTCTCCTTGTTCGCTTCCCCATGCTGCTGTTTGATTTGTGAAATTTCATTTTCTAGCTGCACAATAGTTCGTTCAATCTCGTAATTTTTACTGACAAGAGACACCCATCTGGAAGGGAAAAGAAATAAAATAACACTTGAAGGCTTTTTAAGTCCTCTGTTTTAAAATCAAAGACAATTATTGCTCCAAAGAAAGCACGAAGACACTGAATAAAGCAGTATTTTTCTCAGTTTGATATATGAATGGAAATTTGAACAATGCAGTGATAAAAAGTAGTTTTTAACCCTGTTAAACCTTAACATACCAAATTTAATTTACTAGACTCAAATCCACTAACTGCCAATATTTAGATAAAGAAGAGTTTAAGAAACAATTTAGGCAATTTCAAGCAGCTAATATGCCCCCCTTCTCACACCTGCTGCTCACCGATTCACTCAACCACAGTAACTATTACGTAGACCTGAATCACAAACCCTTTAAAACACTTTGTGCAAAGCATCAGTATTCATGCGGTAACACCCTACAACAGTACTAAAAGATCACTGATGCTCTGCATGGAAGAATTTCAAGCAAAAGATACACTTGTGGAAGATTTAACAGAAAAATTCTGGAGACTCACGTAGATTCCATTTCTCGTAGCTTAGCCCCAGCTGTCAGCTGCATGTTCTTCCGTTGCCAGTTCAGATCTTGAATGTTTTTCCTGGGGAGAGAGAGATGTGTGTGGGTTTTTTTTTTCCTCCTTTCTTTAAAATTTGTAATATCTGCTTCTAATTTCAAAACACACCTAATCCCTAGAAGTACTACCAGAAGACACTTGTATAGCCAGGACCTAACTACAACATATACATGGACAAGTGGCAGTACAGGGCTCCACACAGAACCCTGAGATAAATAAAAACAAAACCACAAAAAACAAAACAAAACAAAAAAAAAACCCAAACAAAAAAACCCCCACAACCACCACAAAAACCAAACCCAAACCACAACAAAAAAAATTCCACTCTACTACAGGCAAAACTTTTCAAGCCTACTGCTCCTGAACATGTGCAGAACAGAGAAAATGTTTTGTTCTGTCTGAAAAAAAGCCAGAAAAGTAAAGATGAATGGCTCATCATTCACAAAATTCATAATTCAGTGAAGCACCTGAGAAGTGCAGAATACTTAAAATACTTCGGTCTCTAAGTAGTTCTTAGTTCACACCGCTAATGCCCGTATTCTGTTAGCCTGCTTGCTAACACCATGGTGTTCCTTTAGCCTTCCCAACTTGAATTCTGCTTCTACCCTTTCCCAGGCTGATTCTGTCCAAAACAATAATTCCAGTTAATCTAAACACGCAGGTACTGATAAAAGATACGAATCGCTACACAACTTGACTTCTACCCATGTCCCAGTATACGGTCCCATCTTCAGGCTGAGAATGACAGTAGCTCACCTAAATCTGAAAGCTGAAAACCTTTACTTGCCAAGTCCATAGTGTGCTGTCTAAATAGAATGAATTATGAAAGCGCATCATTTCAATATGCTACAACCTCCATCCCCGAGTAATCCATCTCTGTAAATGCATTAAAGTGTCCACTTTAAAATGATAGACCAAACGTCAGGGAACACCTCTTCACTGAGACAACTGCACACTAAATAAGTCTATCAGCCGTGAAAAGAAAACATGACTGCATTTCAGAGAAGATTCCACCACAATCCATTCTGTTCAAAGCAGAGGTTCACACAAAACCAAACCAAACCAAACAAACACAGAGTTTGAGTGGAATAGGCATTATGAATGTAACCGCTTGGGGAGGGCAGGGTCAGATTTCTTAATTATTGTTATTACTGGTTCTTTTTTCCTAAGACCATGGCAGCGGCATATAGACAAGGCTTTGTATAGCATGGGGCAGGGCAGGGGGAAAGGGGTTCACTTTCCTTCAAACCTCAGTATGAAAATATGAAAAAGAATGACTCACCTCAACTTCTGAAGCTCCTTCTGGGCTTGTTCTATCATATGAACCAGATGTCTAATAGCAGAATGCAAGCAAAGCATTAGGAAAACATACAATTGCTAGATAAGACCCATTTAACCTGCAATTTAACCCTCCAGAGCTAAGGATGCAACAAGCCACTTCAACACAAACACCACACAACTTGTTCTCAGTGCAGTCTGTGCTCTTCACTCCTGAAGGGAATGACACAACGCCAGAACACTCCAATTGTAACATGCAGTTTTAAAACATAAACTTTCAACACTCACTATGGTCAGCCCTTGCCATCAGACAGTATCATAAAATCATAACCATTAGCTGATCAAGTTTTATCTTCAAGGTTGTTACTGTATGCTTGTGCTATTGTGACTGGAATGCTATTGTAACATCTCCCTACCTTATCACCCATCTTCTAATTTTAATTCTACCTGTAACCAACTTTTTTTATTGTTTCCCTCATCGTCGGAGCACAAACAGTTCTTTTCGCTTCCTGACACATGTGCAAGCTAATAGATCCTCTACCTGCCTCCGTTCTCCAAAGCTAAGCAACCCTTTACCTTCTCTCAAAGGTGAGTTTCGCATTCCTTTTGCCTACACCTTTATTTAAGGCTAAAGTAACACTTCTCGAAAGTGAACATTAACGTTCTCTGCCTGAAGTAACCCTGGTGCTTCCTGCAGCCATATTGTCTACAATTTTTTTTTGGCTTTCACAACAGCTTTATTAAGGATCAATAAAAAGTCATCTTTATTTCCACTGCTGAATGATCATTTCACAGGCTGTCATTAGTCCCATTAGTTATCCCCAGTTAAAGCCCGTTACCACCAACTGCTACCCAAACATTAACTCACAAAATTCAAGACTAGGATGTATTGAAACACAGACCATTTCCTGGCCACAGAGAAAATTCCTTCTCTTTCAGATCAGCCTCCTTTTCTTCTACATATAGCTATCTCAAAGGGGCTCAGTTACTGCAGGATATGTTCTAAAGATGCCCACTGGACTTACACAGGAAAACATGAGAAATATACAAAACTTGCAGTCAGAACAACAAGGTTCAGCAAAGCAGATGAAGGCCTTACTCGTTGTACACCTTCCATGCATTACAGCCGTGCTGCGACATTAACTCCAGGTTCTCGATGCGGACAGCCTGGTGCTCCAGCTGCGCCATGGAGTTGTTCACGCACTCCTGCCACGCCGTGATGTCGTTCTTCTGCCCAGAGGACGGGGCCGGCAGCTCGTACCTACAACACACCGCCTGCCCGCCTCAGGAGAAGGCCCGGCCGCCTCCGGCCCGGTGGGCACCGCTCCCTGAGGGCGCCGCGGCCAGCG